ACCGTTTTTCTTAACCACTGAAATGGATAGTAAAAAGTGCATATTCGACATGTAATGCTTTAGGAATTGAAACAAGGCAATAGCACTAAGGTGGCAACTGAAAAAATATGCAGCGTATACGGTGCAGGACTGATAACTGATAGGGCAGTCAGAAATTGGCTTGTAAAATTCCGTTCTGGAGATACGATCTTAAAAGATGAACCGAGTGCATGTATTTCCGACTTTGATGAACCTTTTAAAGGTAATATTGGAGCAAAATCCAATAAATACGTTCAACAATTGCAAAGAGTGCAAAAAAAAACTCCATGAATGAACTCCAAGTCTTGCACTTGTCAGTCGCAGAAACGCTATTCCTTGTCTCATAAAAAACGGAAGTTATTTATGACTCGACCTAATATTATATAATAATTGCATTTTATATATGTGCCCATAATTATGAAAGTGGTCTAAGTCATATTTTTCTTGTTTCGAGATATTTAAAGATTTATACTTGAACACTATATGAATTCTATACAATACTAGGGGTGCCCCGCCACGCGTTGCTGTGGCTCACAATCAGTGAGTCCGATACACACGTCTTTAAGTCAACGAATTACCTTATACCGCCATCTATATCCGCCTTATATCCGCCGAACTAACAGAGATAATCATGACTCTGTTAATAAACAAATAATTCGCAATAAAATAATATTGTGATTATAAATTGAAATATAAACTATCCTATCTTTCAAGTTGGATGAAACTGCACACAGTGTGCAAAATTTTATTAAAATCGGTTTAGTAGTTTAAGAGTCCATTGCGGACAAACAACGTGACACGTAATTTATATATATTATGAAGATTGAAATAACAAACATTATCTAACGATTCATTTTTGACAATATCGTTTTAAATTACATTGAATTTATTTAGTTTATAATAATGTAGTGCGTAATAACTGATAAACTCATTTTTTATTAATTTTCACTTAGACCACTTTCATAATTATGGGCACAAATATGTATCGTTCTTCGTTTCGTTTAAAATTCAAAAGAAAATACTGGGCATTTTCGTTCATAACAAAAAAAATCGATTATCCAACACATTGAAATGTACAAGTTTGAATAATATCATTATACATTGTTCTCTTTAAAATATTATATTAAAAATTAATAAAAATATGAATTATTAAAGTGTACAAATTTAATTGAACGTTTTGATTAAACTAACTTTGTCAATAAAAAATTCTCAAAATGAAACAAACATCAAAGTCATCAAACATTTAAGTGCAATTTCTTCAGCAGGTATCATTGTTCAAATTTATGGAGATTTTATATAATATACATCACCTTCCCCCATGGAATTGGTACCTTCACACTATTCTTATCCATTATTAAATATTACAAAATTGTGTAATGTTTATAAGCTCTTTGTTAGGACAGAATATTTAAATAAAAATAATTACTGCTATTATTATCATAATCTTTATCTTTTTTTTATCAAACTACCTTGGCATTCAATTTAATTTTTATTTTTATTTAAACTTTATACAAGAATACCATATATATATTTCTTTCTCTTTTTTCTATTTTATCAAATATCTATAATTATTTATATTTATATTTATATTTTTAAATATATAATATATACTTAATACTAATATTTATAAAAAAGGAATTATTTTACATATAGGACTACATCTTAAGGTGTTAAAATAAAAAAAACAAAGGTGAGACAATTCATAAGCTCGAGTTAGACAAACTGTGAACACGAAAATGGTTCACACATCCACCTCATCATCTTATTTCTTCTTATTCTTATTTTTCCATAAGCGTCGTTAGAATATTTTTATTAACAAAATAGAAACAAAATAATTAAAAAAACAACATTTTGTTATTGAACAAATGGGAGATAGGATAAACTATAGCACCACTAATGTATGTTGCTTGATTGTATGTGATATGTATATGAATGTTGAAATACATGTATATATTGTAAGTGTATGGGTGTGTAAGTGAGTGTGGTTTTCTTTTAAAAAAATCATTGCCACGATGAAACTTCTCGTCGCGTTCTCATTTTTCAACTATGTGTGTGTATCGTTTTGAAACGTTTAGATATATATATATATATATATATATATATGTAACACACATGCTTCTTAAGTATATAACGTGCATAAATAAACTTATGTACATAAACGTCGTAGACGAGCATCTTTTTCGTATTTCCAGCCACCTCTAAAAAGCTTTAGAAAAAAAAAATTTTGTTTAAATATAAATGAGCCTGAGCCTTAAATACGCTTTTGAAGGACGACGAATTTTCTTACGAAAGCGCATTTAACTTTTCTTATATATATATTATTTTAATTTATATATTTAGGTTAACTTAAAGTTTCTTCGTTTATACTTGAAATTCTTTCTCTTGACTATAAAATCATTTTTTTTATATGCAATTTTTAAATCGTTCGTTCTAAATTCGAATTTCGTTCGAATGGTGGAATTTGGTGGAACGATCGATCATTATAAAAACGTATACGGAATTCGGAAAGTAATTTCTTTTCTTTTTATCAATTTGTAAATAATAAAAGATGAAAATAATAGTTGAATTACGATGCAATTTAATTTCCTAAATTATTGGTGGGGTTGCATCTTGATGCAACGATAATAAAAATGTTATTCAATGTTATGTCAAAAAAAAAAAATGAATTACTCAACAGATTTAAATGCAACAAGGTTCTAAATCACATTTGAAGTGTCTTCTATTAGAATATCAAATGTTTTGCAAGTTTAAATGCAAGGTTTCAATATCAATCAACGCGAGTTACAAAAATTAGTGAATCGTCTCATTTTGATGCAACGATAATAAAATGTTATTCAATGCTATATCAAAAAAAAATGAATTACTCAACAGATTTAAATGCAACAAGGTTCAGAATCACGTTTGAAGTGTCTTATATTAGAATATCAAATGTTTTACAAGTTTAAATGCAAGGTTTCATATCCATAATTACAATTAACAAAAATGTTCTGACCAAATAAAAAATAAAATTACTTTCCTTTTTCGATATACATTTATACAATTTTTTTTCTTTTTAGGTACGAACAGTAAAATTATACAAAATATTACGAAAACTTATTCTTATTGAATACACAAGTGCATTTCTTTTTTTTATCTTCCTGAATATTTTTCCTTTTTTTCTCGTTTTTGTTTTTTAATTTACGAGTAAATATGAAGAGATTAATCGGAAACGTTGCTATAAAGTACGCGTAGAATTATAAATTAAAAAAAAAAACGAATGGTGAAACATATATATATATATATATATATATAT